CATCAGAACTCTAAGCACCTGAGAGAGAGTGGGCACCTGCCAGAACATTGTTTTGTGCCACTCCCAACAGAAATACTCCAGGTGGACACCTTCAGCAATCAGGAGCTCCTCAGTTGCTCATAGCAAATCCCACCTTGGAGTTTACAAAGACTTACGTATAGAAAAGCCACACAAAGTAATTTACTATACCACAGTATGTTATTCCTCAATACACCTTTTAAAGCCTAACTTCATTTAAAGAATACTCGTAATGACCTCAACAATAGCAAAACCATCTTCTATTAATAATCAGGGTTGATTTTTAAATTATTTTTCTGTTTGAGTTCATCTGTAGGGTGCTTCTTTGTTGTGCTTGGTGGCTCACTTCCCAAGTGATCTACGAAAACTGATCATCTGTGATGTGCAGTGGACCTTAGCACCAAACCACTGTATACACCATATGACATGGTTACTGCAGGAGCACTTACACAGGGTTTAACTCAACTCATAGCCACCCCTCCTTGAGTTTCTGAGGCAGTATGTCTACGGAAGTGGATTGCCCAGTCTTCCTTCCAAGGAGTGGCTGGTGAGTTTGAAGCAAAAATACATTGCATTCTCCTGCTGTTATTGCAAAGGTTAATTATTTCCCTCTTGACTGCTTCCATCTATAGCCAGTGGGAATAAGTAAATCCTCAATTCTAAAACGCTATTAGGCCCTAACTGGTTGCCTCGGGGTCAATTCCAGCTCATGGCAACTCAGTGTATGTCTGAGTAGAGCTATCTGTGCTCCTTAGGGTTTTCAGTGGTTAATTTTTCAGAAGTAGGTCACTAAGACTTTGTTTCAACCACCTCTGACTCAAAACTCCAACTTTCAGGTTAACAGTGGAGTATACTGATTTTGCACCACCCAGGAACTCCTATTAAACGTTGGCAATAAATCAAAACAATTGCCATTGGTAGTGGTTGGTTAAGCACTTGGCTACTAACTGAAAGGTTGGTAGTTTAAACCCACCAACCACTCCATGGGAAAAAGATGTGGTAGTTTTCTTCCATAAAGATTTATAACCTTGGAAACTATGGAGTAGTTCTGTTCTTCCTACAGTGTTGCTATGAGTTGTAACATTGGCAGTAAAGAAAAAAAAAACAACCCATTGCCATCTAGATGATTCTTACTCAGTGACCTCCATTAGGTTTCCAAGGCTGTAAATCTTTATGGAAGTAGATTGCCTCATCTTCCTCCCACAGAGCAGCTAGTGGGTTTGGACCACCAATATTCTGGTTAGCAACCAGATGCCTTACCCACTACAGCAGTGTTGTTGTGTTGTTGTTATATGCCATCGAGTCGGACCCGACTCCTAGCGACCCCTCCTTGGGTTTCCGAAGTAGTATCACTACGGAAGTAGATTGCCCAACCTTCCTTCCGAGGAGTGGCTGATGGGTTTGAACCGCCAGCCTTCTGGTTAGCAGGCCAAGTGCCTTAGGCACTGTGCTACCAGAGCTCTTTACTACAGCAGTAGGAGCTGCTAAAGGGCTCTAGTAGTAGAATCTGTGCATATTGCCAGGTGGGAGGTGGACAATTGGTTCACGTTGCTGTCTGGCGCTACATTTGTAGGGAGGGGTTTAGGGGTTAGTGTTTGCCCTCTTTTAAGGATAAGAATCAGAATCAAGGCTATAGCTAGATGACTATATATAAAAGGCAAATTGGGAAGTGATAACTAAAGCTGCAGCAACTAAAAGAAAAAAGGAATGTTTATCATTATATGGTGGCATAGTGCCTAAGGCATTTGACTGCTAACCAGAAGGCTGGTGGTTCAAACCCACCAGCCACTCCTCGGAAGGAAGGTTGAGCAATCTACTTCCATAGTGATACTGCCTTGGAAACGCAAGGGGGGGGGATCGCTGTGAGTCAAATCCGACTCAATGGGAGTGAGTTTGTGTGGGTTTTTTTTTTTTTTTTTTTGTATCATTATATAGGAAATTCAAAGGTATCAGGCTATTTCGTAGCATATATTTATTTTAGAATATGGATTTTTATTGGACTGGGGGAATCTTTGTTGTTTTCTTCAACAAAACAAAGAAAGTGACACTTCAGATGACTATTGAAAGGTAGAAGGAGAGATTACCACACTTTGATGAGTTGATTTGGACAGATTCCATCACTGCTAAAATGAAAATATTTTTATTGTACTAAAAAGATTGCTTCCTAAAGGATCAAATAACAGGGAAATCAATAAATCTTCTTGAGAACAGCTTAAAAAGAAACTTAAGATACAGCATATGGGAAATTTCACTATCTACAAAACTTATTTTTACTAAAACAAAAATAATTTTCATCTCATTAATAAGTGATAATCCAAGTGTTAGGAACATGTTTTCCCATAGAAATGATGCAAATTATTAATAAATTCCCAGGAAAGCCCTCAAAAATCTACTTAATTCTTAATACCACTAAATATATTTCCTTAGGAAAATAGATTCTGGCAACCAAGAGTAACAGATTTTAAATGCCATCCTCACTCCTCCCATGTTTATTCTTCTCTTCCTAACTGGGCCACCAGAGTAGTAAGAATTCCAGGACCTTTGTTACTGGGGAAGAGCGTTATGGGCACCCTAGTGAAAAGGTTAGTTGTTAGCCCTACTAAGACTGTGACTGTTAGTTAACCCTTCTCTTCTATGAGTATTACATTTACAGTGACTTTCTCACTATCAGGTTTCAAAACACCAAGTTTTTTAGACGTTGATGACCATGCTAATTATTAACTCCTTAGGATCCTAGCATACAGAGGTTTTAGGAACAACATGAGAGTTGGTTTCCTAGCTTCTCAACAGGTTTCTAAAAAGAAAATGTGATTGTGTGGCCTGTTTTCTTCCTTGATCTATCACATTGTGAAACACGACTAAACATTAAGATCCTTACAGAAAAGAATTTCGTAAGGCATGACTACTAGGACACAATGTAAATTCTGTACTACAAAACATCCTATCTTGTCTAATTAAGTATGTTTCTTGGCGTTTGAATTTTGTACTGTTTGCTGCATTTACCCCCTCAGCTTTATATATTATACTTGCTTTTGTTTTAAAGTGTTAGCGTTTCAATTTAAAACATTCTGTGGTTAATTGATGTTGTTCAGTAAATGTTGTTAAAGTTAACTGTCGAGTCAGAACACAGTGAAATGTTGCCCAGACCTACACCATCTTCAAGGAGCTCTGGTAGCATAGTGCCTAAGGCACTTGACTGCTAACCAGAAGGCTGGCAGTTCAAACCCACCAGCCATTCCTTGGAAGGAAGGTTGGGCAATCTACTTCCATAGTGATACTGCCTCAGAAATCCAAGGAGGGGTTGCTATGAATCGGGTCCGACTCCACGGCACATAACAACAACAACACCATCTTCATGGTCTTGCTGTGGCTATTGTGTCATTTCTTCTCATTGAGGGTTTCCCTTCCTTTTGCGGACCTCTGCTTTACCAAAATGATGTCTTTTCTAGCAACTGGTCATCCTTGCTTCCAAGGAGCATTCTTTTTTTATTTATTCTAGGATTGCTCAATAAATATTATTAGCTCTTAAATGGGACATCTTATCAGCCAGAGCTGCAAACTGGAATTGTCACTGGTGATTCATAATATTAATTGTGTTTTTGTTTCATTCTTAGTAAATGAAAAAATTAAGAATGGGAAGGTTGACATTTTCAACCTAAACAAATGTATTTTATAAGACTTTTCTGGGGCAGTTTATCAAGGCAGCAGATATCAGGCATATGTCATTGATGATTCTAAAGAGACTATATTCTCCTGAATGGTGCTTTTGAGTTACCAGCAAGGGAGAGTTCAGATAATTCATTGTCACTTACAGATTATGTTTCAAGGTTATTGCACATAATTATAGATTTTTATCATTCTCATTTTTGTCTCTCTTTTTTCTTTCCATTTTTCCAGTTCTTCCTCCAGTGCTGGTTCCAAGACACAGTGAATATAATCCTCAGCACAGCCTTTTAGCTCAGTTCCGTAACTTAGGACAAAATGAGCCTCACATGCCACTCAATGCCACTTTTCCAGATTCTTTCCAGCAACCCAACAGCCATCCATTTCCTCATTCACCCAACAGCAGTTACCCAAACTCTCCTGGAAGCAGCAGTAGCACCTACCCTCACTCTCCTACCAGCTCAGACCCAGGAAGCCCTTTTCAGATGCCAGGTAAGTTGGAATGTTCAGTGATATGCTGTGCTTTCATTGGACTGGGTTATCATGGTACCAGGGAGAAGTGGGTGATCTGGATTGGAGAGAGCTTTCCAGTTCGGTATATGGCAGTGTGCTCTAGTACTCTTATAGTGTGACTTTTGGGGAAAGAACACCTTGTGACCAAGTAAGCAAACTTTTTGTTTTATTTGTCAGGCATAGATGCTTGACAAATATCAGCTATATATTTTTCCTTGATTGTAAAAGATTTTGAAGCTGCTGCGTCCTTTGGGATGTGACATAATGGTTACTGTCTTTGCTCTTGTTGAAACAGAGAAAAAGAAAAATGGTGTTTTACACATATTTGCTGTTATGAGAAACCACCTTGATCAATATCATTTTCTTACATAGAAGAAACCCGGTTTTAAATACAACCTTAGAAAACTTATTTCCTGAGGGATTACGCCCTCCTACTTAATTAAATTCATTTAAATGGTGATGTAATCCCAAGAAACATATACTTCAACATCAAAGGAATTGCAGCAGAAGCACTAGAAACCATCTGCTTGTTTAATTTAGCAAAGACAAAAACAATTATCCTCTTTTTTAAGACTTAACTGATGGTATAATGTTTATCAAAATAAATGATTAATTAGAACGTTATGTTTTTCAAGTTATAGGTTAATAAGCAAGCATCTTAGGAAAAAAAAAAGATTAGTGCCAAGTTGTTTGCCAGTAGACCTCAAAACGGATACTTTAAACAAAGATATACTTTATTATTTGTTAGCATTTCAAGATGGGAAAATAGGCCAGCCTGTCAATTGGGCCACTTGACATACTTTTAAATAAATTTGAATTCAGCATCAATGTTGGTGTGTCTTGAAAAGTAGTCCAGACTTGATTTTGCTTGCTTACATGGATTGATTGCTTGCTTTTTATTTTGCATCTCCTTATTTTGCATTATTTTATTTGTTTATCAATACAAAGCTGATTAGAAAGAAGCTGGGACATAAATAGGCTAGTTTGAAAATCAAACTGATACCATCCTACCTACTGATATTTCTTATCTACCCCATTCTCTCCCAGAGCCATTGGATTTCATGGGTAGGTTAGTGGTGAGGAGGTTCTTTTGACAAACCCAAGGTGGTCCCAACAGTGAAAAACAAAATGAAGATTATCATTTGAATTTACACTTTGTCCTTAGCTGTTAATGATTAAGTCATAGGCCAAGTAGAGGAAGTGTGGGAAAGGGAAAGTTGCAAGGAATGGAAGGAGCTGCTTAGGGGAAGAGTGGAGTACTACCAGTAATTATCTGATCCCCGTGCTGGTGCTTATGCTGTGGGTTACCTATGAAATTTCCAGCAGCTGGTTTGCAGGAATTCATTGGATGTGGTCTCAGAGGAGGCTCTTTGTCTTCATTCCTGGCTGGAAGTAAATCAGAGTCAGCATTACAGCTGCAGGGAAGAAGCTGAGTTCAAAGAAGCTGGAAAAAGGGTGAAAAAGGCATCCAGACAAAGTCCCTGTAGTCCAGTATCGGTGCTTGTTAGCATGGCCTTTGTTAGCAGCTAGATGGTGGGAGTCATCGGGTTGTAATTCAGCTAAGAGTCAGATAGAGAAATCACTGAGAAAAAGTGAAGCAGCAGTATTAGCTATTTGTATTTAACAGTTACTTTGAGTAGTCTGTAGTACTTATCCCAGGTAATCATGGTAAAAATTTGTCCCCAAGCCTTTTTCGTATATGTTGGATGGGCTGTTATTTGCCAGCTGGCTATGTGCTTTCTGGAAAAAATGTATGAATTCTGAAATAGAAGATAACTGTGATAAACTGATTTGTTTCCTTATTATTCTAGTGATTCTAAAAGTAGTGATTATTTAAGTGGATAGGAAGATTGCTTGATGCTGTGGAAAATTAACAGTATAAATAGTAGGTTGTAATGAAATTCAGTTGGTAGATTCCTGAGAGCCATAGGTTTAATGTAGGAGACCTTAAAGCTGCTTCATCCTGTACACCATTCATAGATTTTCCATCTGTATGTAATATAGAGGGTCTTCTCGAAGTGGGTTGCATGAAAGTGTATTTATATGTTGTTCTGATTGTTTTTAAATATCACAGTCCTAGATAGGCAGATATTTTCTAGAACTGGCATGTAGTATTTTTCCTCCCATTGAATTTTTACTAAAAATATATAAGATTGTGAGATAATAGTTATTTTTATAAATTGTATGTCAAGTCCAATATCTGTAATAGCCAATCTTCTGGTCAATCAAAACCAAACCCATTGCCCTCAAGTAGATTCTGACTCATAATGACCCTGTAGGACATAGTAGAACTGCCCCTTTGGGTTTCCAAGCAGACTGTGGCACATGTTTTTCCTGTGGAATTGCTGGTAGGTTCGAACTACTGTCGTTTTGGTTGACAGGCAAGTGCTTTAACCACTGTGCCACCAGAGCTCCTTAATCTGCTGACAGAAAGGTTGAAATGATAACTTGATTGATCTCCTATGAATCTCAAGACAGTAGAAAGTATGTGTATAAGCATGTGTGTTTATTAAAGATGAAGAAGTCTTTTTCTCTTTAACCTTTGTAGCTGATACACCCCCACCTGCATACCTGCCTCCTGAAGACCCCATGACCCAAGATGGCTCACAGCCAATGGACACCAATATGATGGCACCTTCACTGCCCTCAGAGATTAACAGAGGAGGTAAAATCAACTGCCATTTACTCCCTTCATAGAAGCTAAAGTTTACTTTTCCAAATATTAGTTTCTCACAAGTTTTTACTAATCTTTAGAAAGGTTACCTATTTGAGAAAAGTAGAGCACAATGATGCAAAAAGCTTCAATAGAAAGAATTCTTTGGACAAAAAATAAGTCTTTTATTTAAAAAAAAAAACAAACTACATTTGACATAATGAAGGCTTAAGAATAAGTGTGCATTTGTCTCTATAGATCTACAATACTTCATAATTTTGAAATGGTGATTAAAAAGAGTATTTTAATGAGAGGGACAAAGGGGTATTGTGAAATAATGAGCATAATAATATTACAGCTGAGCTTTTAGTCAGAATCCGAAGTTCATATAGCATGGCTTTCCAAAAGGTTCCTTTTTTAGTTAGAATAGATATTCATAAAACCTTATTTATTTTCTCTGCCCATCTATATATAGCTGAAGCTGGAACAAACTAATCGTATTTGTTTTTTTCTTTTAGTCTTTATTTCTAACCTTACTGCACAATAGTTAAGTGCTCTCTTGCTAATCAAAAAGGTCTGCAGTTGGAACCCACCAGTGGCTCCATTCAAGAAAAGACCTAGCAACCTGCTCTCCTAAAGATAAGAGGCTAGGAAACCCTATGGGGCATTTTATTCTGTCATATACGGTCGCTGTGAGTTGCAATGAACTCAGTGGCACGTAACATCAACAACCTTATTGTCAAAATGTTCTTTTTCTTATCCTGAAGAGTTTATAAACAGCATTGAAAACTTCTTTCCCTTTCTATAAGAGGATGGGTCTTTGTTCCCTGCTCGGTATTTTCCCTGGAAGTGACTGATGAGAGGATATCATCATTCTTCCAGGTCTGAAGTGGAAAGTTGATTAGGTTTAAGTGAACAGAGAACTCAGGTAAATGACTTAGCATCTGTATGATGCCATGACCACACTGTTGGGAAAAAAAAAAATTGTTCCATATTAACCTCTCTTGAGGAAAGTACTTCAGTGATATGCTTAACCTGTGGCATGGACCATTCAGTTTGTATAAAGTTTTTAGAAATTGAAGTTAAACTGCAATTTGATTTCTTAAACCAGTAAAGCAATTGCCATGAAGCTGATTTTGACACAAGGTGAGCCCATGTGTGTCAAGAGTAGAACTGTGCTCCATAGAGTCTCAATGACTCTGACCTTTCAGAAGTAGATCACCAGGCTTTTCTTCCAAGTCATCTTTGGGTGAACTTGAACCACCAACCTTACAGATAGCACCTGAGCACATTAACTGTTTGCACCACCCAGGAATAATATAGGTATGTCTTACTTCATTCTTACTATCTTTTTATTAAAATATGAAATAATTCAGTCTTCACTAGAGTTGGTAGTATTTTTTTCAGGCTTAACATTTGATCATGAACTCAAAAAACCATTCTTAAATGTGCAGTGTAGTGAAATAGAATATATACTTTTTACCTGTAAATTTTCTTTTACAACCTACACTGATGGGGGGAATACTCTCTCTTTCATAGGATGAGCTGAATCTCATACTCGAGGTGTACCTCTAGTATATCATGAGTCATCCATAGACAAAGGCCGTATTTTTATCTTTTTTTAATGGGCTCTGAATTTTAGGGTTCCTGATCATCTCTAGAACATCCTCTTAAACATATAATTATGAGCTGATAATAAAAGAAAATAGGGGAAAATAGCCCCTATCACACATCTGTGGGATTTGCACTTGGGGAGCATTAGAGCAAAAGAGGCCACAGCTGCATTACTGTACAGTCATGTGGACCCTGAACTATTGTTTCACTTGATGCCAGTTTAGTTGTTATGCCTTAAAATACCAGATTTCAAGAAATAGTCATGTCCTTTAAATAGCTTTCAAAATTTTCTCCACTAGAAGAAATTTGCAGTTAATATTTTCAGAAGGAAGGAATAATGGCCTTTAAAAAATTTTTTAAACGTTTAGTGGTTTTCCAAGATTAGGGTTCAACAGACTACAGCCCACAGGCCAATTCAGCCTGCTGTTTTTGTAAATAAAATTTTATTGGAACACAGCAAGTTTTTTGCTTTTATATTATCTATGGTTGTTTTCGTGTATACAAGCAGAGTTGAATAGTTGCAGTAGAGATTTTGTGGCCCATAAAACCTTTCAGGCCTAAAAAAAAAAAAATCATCAGCACCTGTCCTAGATGCAGTATTTTGTACAATTCTGATTGTTGATAAGAACCATTTGTTAATGAGGCTGCAGGCTTCTTCTATATTTTACCATTGTAAATCATTAACATTTTGCTCTTTGAAATGTATTTTGATATGTGGAAGAGGTATTTAGCAAACAGGGACAACAGTGTATGTTTATTTTTAGCTCACTTGTTTACATATGTAAGATAACTAATGTATGCGTGGGTTTTTAAATGATCGTTTTCCTTGTTTTCTTTATTGAATTCTGAAGTAAAATGCTTTTTTAATATTTGTGTAGTTGATTTAAGAACATAGTGGTAGTTCTCCCTTAACAGGTACAGTCCATGCTTCTGATATGGATTTCCTTCCTTCCTTTCTTTTTTTTTTTTTAAATGGTTATATACCCAAGACTTCTAAAACCTCAGATCATTAAATATTGGCATACTGGATATACAATGGGTTGTATTCCTGGAATCTCTAAGGCAGTGGTATAAGTGGTTTTACTACAGAAGGAACTTATCTTTAAAACGTTTTAGTTAAAATGTTTAGAAGCATGTTCTGTTTGGAGATTTGTTGGTCTTAAGAGATTTGACTTAACAAGCTGCATCCTGTCAGTAAAGTTGGGTAATTTCCATTGTTGGCCCATTCTGGGAATGGAGAGACAAAACACACCTGCTATGCATGACTTAAAGCAAATATAAGGAAGTTAGCATGAAATCTGGATGGAAGAGATATGATTCATTCTGTAAGAATGGCCAGCTGGCAAGATTTCTTCCTGAGTTTGAACACTGGAGCAAAGCTGTAGCCGTGATAGTTATTGGAAATTAAATATGAAGTAAAGTAATTTCTTATCAATAATTAGAACTGGTGTTCATTGCTTTGAAAAAGCACAAGCATACTTAACCTTTGTGTATAGTCAGTTTGCTATACTGTGGTAGCTTATGTGTTGCTGTGATAGTGGAAGCTACGATGGGGCATCGGTATTTAAAATATCAGCAGGGTCACTCATGGTGGGCAGGTTTCAGCGACACTTCCAGACTAAGACAGGCTGAAAAGAAGGACCTGGCAATCTACTTGTAGAAAAATTGGCCAGTGAAAACCTTATGATTAGCTGCAGAACATTGTCTGATATAGTACCAGAAAATAAGCCTCTTAAGTTGAAAGCCTTCTGACTAGGCAAGAGCTGCCTCCTCATAGTATAGGCAACCTTAATGACTTATTCTCAGGACCTTCATTTGCTGATGTGGCACAACTCAAAATAAGAAGGGACAGCTGCAAACATCCATTAATAATCCAAATGTGGAATGTATGAAGAAGTGTGACTGAAAAAAATAGAAGTCATCAAAAATGAAATAGAAAGCATAAAGATCGATACTCTAGGTGGTGTTGTTGTTGTGTGTGCCGTCGAGTCAGCCCCAACTCATAGCGACCCCTCCTTGGGTTTCTGAGGCAGTATCACTACGGAAGTAGATTGCCCAACCTTCCTTCTGAGGAGTGACTGGTGGGTTTTGAACCACCAGCCTTTTGGTTCACAGTCAAGTGCCTTAGGCACTATGCTACCAGAGCTCCTATTCTAGGCATTAATGAGGTAAAATGGGCTGATATTGGCCATTTTGAATCAGACAATGATAAGGGTCTGCTATGCCGGGAGTGATAAATTGAAAATGAATGGTGTCACATTCATTACCAAAAAGACATTTCAAGATCTGTCCTGAAGTACATCACTGATAGTGACAGGATAGTATCCATACGTCTACAAGGAAGACTAGTTAATGTGACTGTTATTCAAGTTTACACACCAATTACTAATACCAAAATTAAAAAGTTGAAGATTTTTAGCAATTTCTACAGTCTGAAATTGATCAAACTTGTAATCAAGATGCATTGATATAACTGATTATTACAATTGCTGTCAATAAGTTGTACACCTATAAAAAGTTGAATTGGCAAAACTTGTGTGATATATTTATAATAATGATCCCCAAAAAAGTAGTTACTGAAGCTGCTTATGTTCAACCAAATACCTCATGGGATTTGGTTCCTTGATTTGGAGATTTAGGGTCATGGTTTCAGGGGACATCCAGTTAATTGGCTTAATAACATGTTTACTGCTTATCTTTCACCTCCTAGTTTGTTGTGTAGTGCCTGGGGTCTTGAAAGCTTACATCCAGAGCACAATAGTTGTTCTCTATTCACTGAGCAACTGAAGAAGGAGGAAGGAAAGTCAGAAACAGGAGGGTATGGATTGCATGGCTAATTACCTTCATGAACAACTGCCTCCTTTGCCATGAGACCAGAAGAACTAGATGGTGCCCATATACCATTACTGAACATTTTGATCAAAGAATCCCTAGGGGAATCCTAATCAAAAGGGGGAAATGCAGAACAGAATTTCAAATTCTCATGGACTTTAGACTTTCTGAAGCCATGGAGAGTAGATGAACCCCTGAAACTATTGTTGCCCTGAGGTAATCTTTAAACCTTAAACTAAATATACCCCCTGAAGTCATCTAAAAGCCAAATGGTAACTTAGCTTAACTAGTAAAAAAAAAAGAGGTCTACCTTGAGCTTAATGCTCTTTTAAGAACTATCTGTATGGGATCATGTGGACAACAGCAACTTGAAATATTAGATAGAAGCTTTAGGGAGCAATAAGTTTATGTTAATGAGGAAAGAACAACTAAGAAAAGGATGGGGAGAAAGGTTGCACAACTTAAAAAATGTAATCACTGTCACTAAACTGTACATGTAGAAACTATTGAATTGATTTATATTTTCTTGTATACATTCTCAACAAAAATAAATAAAATTCCAAGGGGGGGAAGATGCATTGATAATTACTAGTAATTGGAATATGAACGTTGGAAAATAACAGTCTTGGTGACAGAAATGATGCTGGAGATCCCATGATAGAATTTGTAAGACCAACAACCTATTCATTGGGAATACCTTTCCCAGCAACATAAATGGTGACTACACATGCAGACATTGCTGGATCAAATCAACTACATCTATGGAAAGAAAAGCTATGGGAAAAGTTCAGTATCATTAGTCAGAACAAAGCCAGGGGCTAACTCTGGAACAGACCATCAGTTGCTCATATGCAAGTTCAAGTTGAAGCTGAAGAAGATTAAAACAAGCCAAAGTACAACCTTGAATATATCCCACCTGATTGTAGAGGCTATCTAAAGAATAGATTTGACTCAATGCTAGTGACCAAAGACCAGATAAGTTGTGGGATGACATCAAACATGAAGAAGACAAGAAGTCATTAAAAAGACAGAAAAGGGAAAAAAAAGATGAAAATAAATGAAACTTTTGAACATAGAGTACCTATACAAATGGAAGAAACAGGTTAAAAGAGCTGAACAGATTTCAAAGGGCTGTTGGAGAAAACAAAGTTAAGTATTATAATGAAATGTGCAAAGACGTGGAGTTAGAAAACCAGAAGGGAAGAACACATTCAGCATTTCTCAAGCTGAAAGAAGTAGAGAAAAAAAAAATTCAAGCCTCGAGTTGCAATATTCCATGATCCTGAGCCAACTTACAACACAGTTTCAGTTTTTGAGAGCCGGAGGCACTAACCCTGATTGACTATAGCTTTTCTTTCTTACAGATGTTCAGGCAGTTGCTTATGAGGAACCAAAACACTGGTGCTCAATTGTGTACTATGAGCTCAACAATCGTGTGGGTGAAGCGTTCCATGCCTCCTCCACAAGTGTGTTGGTGGATGGTTTCACTGATCCTTCCAACAACAAGAACCGTTTCTGTCTTGGGCTGCTATCCAATGTTAACCGGAATTCCACTATTGAAAACACTAGGCGGCATATTGGAAAAGGTGAGTTTTCCCTTTGGCCTTTTTTTGAGTGCATATGTGCTGTGTTCCTGTCCCCTCTAATTAGACTTAATCATTCCTGTGGCATAGCAAACACCAGATAATGTTCACTTACTACATTTTGTAAATATTTTTTCCAGTTTGTACTCAGGAAGTTCTTCACATTCCAATCATATTGATATAAATTAGCTGAAATAGTGATTGGCTATTCTGGGGCACTAGTCTATTTCATGTATTGCTGTAGAAGAAAATAGCTGTTAAAGAAGGACTTACAATCAAGAAACTTAAAAAACAAAAAACTAAAGCAAACCAAATTGTATTTCAAATGATACCTTAAGTCAGTGTAAAGAAAAGAAAGAATTAATCCAAAGTAACTTATGAATGGGCCAGATAGAATAGGAAGAGGGAGGTTGGGTGGGTTTTGCAAACAACTCCTGAACTTTTTTTAGTTGTCTTGATTATTGTGGGGGTACGCGAAACAATTCTATACCGTTAGATATATTAGATTAAGCAAATGAGTAAATACATGGATGTTGTTGGGAGCCTAGGTTTTCAGTATGGAAGAAGGGACATTGATATGGAAGAAGGGGGAAAAAAAAACCTTGTGAAGATGGATGAGGTATCAGTGTGAAATCATGATTTCCCCCACACACACACTTTTTTCTTTTAATTGTGATTTGGGTAAAAGCTTACAGAGCAAATTCATTTTCTGTAAAGCAGTTCATACTGAAATTATGATTTTAATAATAAGTATGTGTCAGGTTCAAATCCTGGCCAATGCACATCATAATCAGCACCACACATCTGTCAGTGGACACTTGCATGTTGCTATAATGTTGAACAGGGTTCAGTGGTGCTTACAGACTAAGACAGACTAGAAAGAAAGGCCTCGTGAAATACTTAGGAAAATCAGCCATTGAAAGCCCAGTCGATCACAACAATCATATTTGCATTGATTCGTGGGGATGTCACAGGACTGGGCAGTATTTTGTTGCATTGTACATGAGGTTTCCATGAATTAGGGGCTGACTCAGTGGCAGATAACAACAGCAACAAAAACCATGTGTATATGAATGTTTATGTCCTTGTGTATATGCACGTGTGTTTATATGTGCATGTATGTTTATTTGTATATACATACATGTAGTTTCCAGATCTACCCACTGAAAAGGCCAAGATATACTATTGTAATAAGCAAATCCACTGTAGAGATCTTGATCTCTAACATCATTTCCAGTTGAATTTTGGAGAAATGACTGACCCCAAAGCTGGGAAAGTAGGCATAAGATAAGCCTAGAATATCTTATTATGCCAGAAAGTAAAGAAATGCTGGGGAAATGACAGAGACATGTCACTGGAGCTAACTTGGAAGAGCTCCCACTGATTGGTTAAGTACAGTAATGAACTTTGTTGTTGTTGTTGTTGTTATGTGCCGTCAAGTCAGCCCCGACTCATAGCGACCCCTCCTTGGGTTTCCGAGGCAGTATCACTACGGAAGTAGGATTGCCCAACCTTCCTTCCGAGGAGTGGCTGGTGGGTTTGAACCGCCAGCCGTCTGTTAGCAGGCAAGTGTCTTAGCCACTATGCTACCAGAGCTCCTGTAATGAACTTTAAGCCATTGGAAAACAATAGTAATTCGTAAGTCCATACCAGTGATCAACAGACAGATAAATGAATGGGCAAGGCTGATTGCTAAATGTAGAGGTAGTGCTAGATAGAGTGAGAAAGTCATCATTTAGCAACTCTCATTCTAAGGATTAGGCTGGAATCATTAATTGTTGTGTTGTTGTTTTTATGTGCCGTAGAGTCAGACCCAACTCACAGCGACCCCTCTTTGGGTTTCCGAGGCAGTATCACTACGGAAGTAGATTGCCCGGCCTTCCTTCCGAGGAGTGGCTGGTGGGTTTGAACTGCCAGCCTTCTGGTTAGCAGTCAGGTGCCTTAGACACTATGCTACCAGAGCTCCCGGAATCATGAATAGACATAAAATATAGAGAGAAGCAGGATATTTGCAAGGTCCTAAAGTGTCTCCTCACACCTATGAGTTACAAGGGAGAATAAAAAGCAGTAATTATACAGTAGAGAAATCGGACAGCATCGTGACTGGAGGCTCAGAATTAACATTACCAGTGAGTCACTGAGAGATGTCATGTATATCTCCAGAAGTGACACCCGGAGAAGGACATTATATCATCTGCGCAGTATTCCAGGTCAGAATACAAATCTGAATCTATTATGAGGAAATATCAGGCAAACCTCAGATGAGGAACATTCTACTAAAAAGGGTGAGGGGGGACTTTATTATTTTTTTCCCAAAATTTTGAAAAAACTATTAGAAGTATTCCAGATTAAAATAGGTTTAAAAAGACATAACTGTATGCAGTACCCCGCCTAGACAGGCTCTTATACTGGACAAGGAAAAAATACTAGAAAGGATATTATTGGGGTCAACAGGTGAAATTACAATAATGAATGATAGATTAGATAAACGTGTTATATCAATGTTCATTTACTGGCACTACTAACTATATTGTGGCTATGTAAGAGAATATCCCTATTCTTAGGAATGCACACTTAAGTATTTAGAGGTGAAGAGTTATGAAGAAATGGTTCAGGAAAAATTATGTATGTATAAAGATCTATTTATCTGTCTAAAAACAATCCTATGCTATAAACTTTCTCTCTCTCTCTCTTTATTGATATATATACATATACATACACACACACACCCCACACACACACACACAGAGAAAGAGATTAGTAGGGATGGCACGAATCATAAGTAAAATGGTCACAATAGAGGAATCTGGATAATGGGTATATGAGTGTTCTTTGTTCTCTTTTTCTTTGTTCTTTGAGCTATTTCAAACTAACAGCTTTCATCACATTTAGTGATGAAATGCTAGAACTTAGGTTCATAGCATGCATATACACTCAGCATTTCTCAGGCTGAAAGAACTGAAGAAAAATCCCAGCCTCAAGTTGCAATACTGAAGTATTCTATGGGTAAACTATTGAATGATGCAGGAAGCATCCAAAAAAAAAGGAATACACAGAGTCACTGTACCAAAAAGAGAATTGGTCAACTTTCAACAATTTCAGGAGATAGCAGCGTATGATCAAGAGCCAATGGTATTGAAGGAAGAAGTCCAAGCTGCACTGAAAACATGAGCAAAAAACAAGGCTCCAGGAATTAATGCAATACCAATTGAGATGTTTCAACAAATGGATGCAGCATTCAAAGTACTTACTCATCTCTGCCAAGAAATTTGGTAGGCAGCTACCTAGCCAACTGACTGGCAGAGACCCATATTTGTGTCCATTTCAAAGAAAGGTAATCCAACAGAATGTGGAAATTATATCCAACAATATCATTAATATCACATGCAAATAAAATTTTGCTGAAGAAAATAAACTGTTGTAGCAGTACATCGATAGAGAACTGCCAGAAACTCACGCTTGATTCAGAAGAGAGTATGGAACAAGGAAAAGCATAGCTAATGTCAGATGGATCAAGGCTGAAAACAAAGAATACTAGAAAGATGTTTACATGTGTGTTATTGACTATGCATAGGCATTCAACTGTGTGAATCATAACAAATTATGGATAACATTGGGAAGAATAGGAATTTCAGAACACATAATTGCGCTCATCCAGAACCTGTACATAGACCAAAAAGCAGTCATTCGAGCAGAACAAGGGGCTATTGCATGGTTTAAAATCAGGAAGGGTGTGTGTTAGGGTTATATCTATCACTGTACTTACTCAGTCTGTATGCTGAGCACATAATCCAAGAAGCTGGCCTATATGAAGAAGAATGTGACATCATCATTGTAGGAAGATTCATACCGATACCATATCTGCGATATGCAGATGCCACAGCCTTGCTTGCTGAAAGGGCAGATCAAAGACTGTAGCCTTCAGTGTGGATTACACTCCAACATTCCAAAAACAAAAATCCTCACAACTGGACCAGTAAGCAACATCACAATACATGGAGAAGAGATTAAAGTTGTCATGGATTTCATTTTACTTAGCTCCACTGTCAAGGCCCATGGAACCAGCAGTCAAGAAATCAAATGATGTATTGCATGGGGCATATCTTGCAGAAGACCTCTTTAAAGTGTTAAGAAGCAAAGATGTCACTTTGAGGATTATGGTGCACCTGACCTAAGCCGTGTTACTTTCAGTCATCTCATATGTATTTGAAAGCTGAACAGTGAATAAGGAGGACTACAGAAGAATTAAAGATTGAATCTACCATGGACTGCCAAAAGAATGAATAAATCTGGCTTGGAAGTACAGCCACAGTGCTCCTTAGGAGCAAGGATGGTGAGACTTCATCTCGTGTACTTTGGTCATGTTCTCAGCAGGGACCAGTCCCTGGAGGACATCATGCTTGGTAAATTAGAGGGTCAGCAACAAAGAGGAAAACCCTCAGTGAGATGGGTTGACACAGTGGCTGCAAAAATGGGTTCGAAAATAACAATAACCGTGAGGATGGCACAGGACCACCAGACAGTGTTTTATTGTATTGTGCATAAGGTTGCTCTGAGACGGCAACAACTTGTAGCACCTAACAACAAGTTGTATAAATAGGAATACCTATGTGGCACAAGTATGTAAGTGCTCAGATACTGACCGAAAGGTTGGTGGTTCAAATCCACCCAGAGGCACCTTGAGATAAAAGCCTGGTAATCTACTTCCAAAAGTTCACAGCCATGAAAACCCCAGGAAGGACAGTTCTACTCTGACACGTGTGGGGTTGCATGCATCAGAATTGACTTGATGGCAACTGATACGGTTTTAATGGGATAACTGAGTAAGAAATAAGAACTGTGAATTCACAAGAGCAATACAAATGGGTACAAAGTGTCTGAGACTAGAGCATAGCCAGCTTCACTGGTAACCACTAAAATGAAAACTAAAATGATACTCTTTTTTCAGCTATAAATTAGGAATTTTGTTTTCACTTCACACTCAATACTCACGTGGATGAAGTGAGAAAAGCACTGACTCCTACACAGTTGCTGAGGGTATGAACTGATTCAGACTTTCTGGAAAGTTGTTTGGCAAAATGAATCAAGTGCCTTCAATCCAATAATTAATTTTTAGGAATCTCTCCTAAAGATATTATTTTAAAAATTGTCCAAAGATAGTTATCATTACATTGTTATAATAACAGACATGACCCAGTAGTGGGAGAATAAATAGTTATGTCCATGCAGTCATACAGATATTTTGAATGTATGCAAAGAATTTTAATTATATCCAAGACTGATTACAGTGTGTTAAACTATTAACAGTCATTGCCTCTAGGTCACCCAAGGAGTGATAATATGCTTTCCTTCATTATATATTGTTTTACTTTCTCAATTTTCAGCATTTTTTTAATGTGTGTGGGGGGGTGTTTTCTTTCCACCAGGCAGAAAAATAGACTGCTGGCCCAGTAACTATCTGATTGTGTTATAGACGTCTTAGCCATTGTGCATATGTACAAACACAACACATAACATTTTCTATGAGAAAGTAGTTTGCATTGACAGCCATGCCAGAGTTGCCTTTACTTGCAAGGTGGATCATTTAAAGCCACATGGGATGTGACTGTTTACTGGGTGGCCTATATTAAGTAATCTCCCTTAATGGTTTGGGCTTTGTCAGAATGCTGGGGTGTTTTTTTCCTCCTTTTTTAAAATGCTGGATAAGATAAATTTCCTGCTCTTTCTTCTTTTAGCGCTCAGCAGTACTTCCTCCACCCATGGCTTTCTAGTTCCTCTACTTCTCTTTATCTTCCCTTCTCTCTACCCTGAAATTTCTCAAACAGCCCAAGTGCAGAATAAATGCAATGGAGCTTAAATGATGAATACATAGAAGATTCCATAATAAAGTCCCAGGCTTTATTATGCTGCTTTTTGGATTTTTTTTGAAATGATGTTACTCTTTCAATTCACAGCTAAAGAGAGCAACAAACTCTCATCAAAATTAAACTACTGTACTTTGTTATTAATTCTTAGGGGGCTTTGTTGAATTATTTCTTGGAGACCTGCTAGACATGCACATTTACATGCAGACATTGTATTAACTAATACATTTAACTAAGGTATTATCAGTTGTGCAGGATTTAGAGAATATCTATGTATCTGACTACCAAAGTTTAAATCCATGCAAATTTATGTTTCTATATTGAGATAACACAGGTGCCTTTCATCTATTAAAAAAAGAATGATACTAAATCCTGTGCTTTATCTTCCTATAGGCGTTCATCTTTATTATGTTGGAGGGGAGGTATATGCCGAATGCCTCAGTGATAGTAGCATCTTTGTGCAAAGCCGAAACTGCAACTACCATCATGGATTTCATCCCACTACTGTTTGCAAGATCCCTAGTGGGTGTAGTTTGAAAATTTTCAACAACCAAGAATTTGCTCAGTTACTGGCACAGTCCGTAAACCATGGTTTTGAGACTGTCTATGAGCTCACAAAAATGTGTACTATCCGCATGAGCTTTGTGAAGGTAAGGGAGTGCTGATTCTTCTGGTCAGGGTTTAACACACTTGTGTGGTGCTTTCTCCCAATGTATAAATATATATCCTCTTGATATATGTCCATAGAAGCTAACTTAGCAAGACATTTTCACACTCTAACAAAGATGTCAATTATCAGGCAATCACTGGAACATAAAAATGCTTGTGTTAACAGTAGTAGCAGGATTTCATAACCTTTTTCTTAATCTCTTAGCACTATTTTGTTGTTGTTGTGTGCCGGACTCATAGCAACCCCTTCTTGGGTTTCTGAGGTGGTATCACTATGTGTCCAACCTTTCTTCTGAGGAGTGGCTTATGGGTTTGAACCTCCAGCCTTCTGGTTAGCAGTAAGGTGCCTTAGGCACTATGCTACCAGAGTTCTCAGCACTATTTTAGCTATTGTAATACTATTAGAATATGTTATGTTACATATTTAACATATATAATTTAAATGTAGTTGTCTCATGAGATCAATTCAGTAGACAAATGTCTTTTCATTTTTTGTTTTAAGTACTTTGATAATGGCAAAGTTTATTACTTTTGTTTCAAAAATAAGCAAATGACCTTTATGTAAAAATACAAGTCCATCATCTAGGAAATTATTTTTGATTGGTCAGTTTTTTTTAGTAGTTCCTGTAAACCTCATGATTTTATTATAATCCAAAACTTAATAAGGTCCTTGCTCAAAGATTGTATTGTAAAATTTAAAGAGGGAGAAGGTTAAGGACATCGATCATAATAATTGATCTCTTGCTGCCTCATCTTTTGTCTCTGAGAAGTAACAATTTAAAAGATGCCACTGAATGTAAAATAAATATTTAAATATCAGAATAGATGTCACAAATCAGTTATTTAGTAACTGACTTGTCTCTGAATTCTCATAAATATTCATTTTCTGTTACTTTGAGAAACAAATCTAATTATATATTTGGGTGAGGCAATCAGCTTTTATGTTCTCTCTTCAGAAGCTTACCTAACTTGTTTTTAAACCTTTTTTTTTTTTTTTTTTTTTT